ATTTTCAGAGAAGCTGAAGGATATTATTCTCTCTGCCAGACTCATCAATACTTTTAATTAGCTTTTTTTTTTTTTTTTTACCCTGCTTCCATTCCCTTCCTATATATCAGCCTCTTAACAGATTTGAGTATGTTTTGAGCTGCCATACCCGACGCCATTTAAATCACTTCTCAAGGGCGCTGGGCCAGGGATGTGCAGTGGTAGTTTAAAGGGATTAGAGCCCTTTGTTTTTTCACAAGTGGTTCAATTTACAAAAGATCAGGGTTCAAGACCTGCACACTATAAAGTGACTTAAAGCCATGAAATCTATTTCTCACTAATTCTAGATTACTCTCTACTTAGGAGCCCAGGGTGCCAAAAATGGTGGTTTTTGTTAAAATGATATGAAATCCTAATGCCAGTCTTTTTAACCACTATTGCATAGTGTACAGTGTCATGCAAATTCCAGACCTATGTGAGCAATTATGGAGCAATGAACATGATCATTTCGATTAAACCAACATGTGTTTTCAAAGATTTTATTTAAGGCAGATAACCGTAAAACTTTGTCACTTCGCTTCTCCTCTCGGGCATACGCACAAAGCCTTAAACACCCCACGTATCTCCTTTGTAAAGTCTGAGCATTAATTGCCCACTGCTTATTCAAGCAAAGCCCCCATTGAGAGAAATGGGATTTTGTCTGAATAAAGGCTGCAGAATTGGACCTCTTGTCTGTGGGTGAGAGATAGGCGACCGGTTTGGTTTTGGGGTCTCCCGCTGCAAAATCGGAGCGTTAGGGAAGATGGGCTTTCTGTTAAAAAAAGTTTTATCTTACTCAGCATCATACTTGTAATTTGAAATGGAGAGAACCGGTGGCCCACGCGATCATGAATAAAGAACAGTGGGAGAAACTGGGTCAGGCTGGCAAGAAGGTAGGAGCTGCCCCGATTGTTTTTCTCCCAGCCATTAGCTTCACAAGAGAATCCTTTTTCTCACTGGACGACTGTACTTTATTTTTCTAAAGCAGTATCCCTCTGACAACCCAAAAGGAATACTGCATCTGCAAATGAATGGTGCCTGCAAAGAGACAACATGAAATTTTTAAAAAGCATGGTAATAAACGCTATTCAAAAAAACACAATCTCTGAAAAACACGGCCTATTGAAATGACAAGCCGAAAATCATTTGCTAAGCACTGAAATGGCCCCTTTTGTCACCCCAATCCTTCTGTTGACAGTTACCTTTCAATCCTACAATTGTGCAGTAAGTACTGATTTTTATTCAATGTTCTATTCACCCTGCGTATTAATGAAAAGAAAAAAACTTGTAAGAATAGCCTTTAATAGGCTGATAGACAAGGCTCCCCTATTCTCCTGCTAGAGCTCCTCTTATCAGCTTCTCACAGTATTGCTGCTCGCTCAATTCTTTCCCATTTCTAAACTTTGCTCACCCATCTGGGCTTGTTCTCAACTGAGATGGAAACATTTTTATTTCACAAGTCTTGCTGACCTTTTCTTATTCTTCAGGCGGCGTTAGGTGAAGCTCTAACCTCAGACCGGCCTTTTTTAAAGCTCAAAAAGCACAATGAGTAGATCAGGTCTCAGCTCATCTGAAGAGGAACGGAGGGGTTGTTCCCTGAGCACTTCTGAGCTCTCCAGGGCCGGGGTGATGGGACAGCAGTGACACAGTCCTCGTGGTGGAGGGTGCAGGGGAAGGCTGCTCACACTCCTGGGTCTCACAGGGACCACTGGCATCACTTGGCCAAAGCGGTGACATTCACAGAGTTGCTGCAAATAAAAAGTGTTTAACAAAACTGGGCAGTGCTGTCCTTGGCTGGGACAGTGCCAATTCTCCCAAGGTTCCTGGAGCACTCACGAGTAGCTTTGCCCAAAATTAGCAATTACATTTATAACAATCAAAACCCAACTTTGTAACACGTGTCCCCAGCCTGTGATTGCAGACGTGTCCGCGCTCGCTCAGAGCTGGTGGTCGCGGTGGCTGGGCTCACTGCAGAGCTTTGTGGGGGCTGCCCCTTGCCAGGGCCCCTGTCTGGGGACTGTCCCTCTGTCTGGGCTGCCCAGTGCGACCCCTCAGCCAAGCAGGGCTGCGAGGGGCCCCTCGGATGGGGCAGCAGGGTCCCTACCCGCTCCCAGATGCAACGCATTGCCTGTGCTGCGAAGGGGAGAAGCCTCCTCCTCCTCCTCTGCATTCCCCACTCATGCAGTTTTTCTTTCCAGTAGGGAAATTCAGCGCATAACTATCCAGGATTGCAAAAATGTAAACAGTCTGTGTTACATGTCTTCAAATTACAGCCCTGCTGCTCGACACATGTGCAGATAATCGAAGCCCTCTGCTCGCGGGGCCCCGGCCCGGGCGAGCGCCAGCGACTGTCCAGTGTCCCCTGCCCCAGATGTCCCCTGCCCTGGCTGTCCCAGCCCCAGCACTGCTCCAGGACCGCCACCGTGCCCTTCATGCCCCACTGGCACCTCCAGCACTGCCAGGCCTAACCGGGGCTGGCCCTGCTGCCCAGCCAATATTAACGAGAAGCCTACTTAGGGGTTGTTTGAATAGAGGAAATTGTTTTACATTGTGATGCAATATTTCCACACTGGGGTCTCATTTATGCAGCGTATTAAAGTCAACACTCGGCACATCTATCTCCATAAGGAGCCAGGCCCATTATCCCCAGTTACTTTTAAGCAGTCTTTGGCTGAGTCCTGACGTGCTGCCGGTGCCATACATCACAGAGATGCAGTTCCTTAAACTGCAGCTCGTGATTGATAGTTTAACCTTTTTCTCGAAGGTTAATTCGATATATGCTGGTGTAAACTATAAACCACAGCTCTAGCCTGTCGGGAGGAGGTAATCTGCATGGCACTCTTATGAGATCTCAGGTGCTGCAGTAATTACACCGTCATCTCCTCCTCCTCCCTCTGCCTTTCTCCCTCTTGGAAAGAGGAGGAGGAGGAAGAGGAGGAGGCTATTCACCAGTACCTGAGGAGTCCAGCTATGACTCTGTTGTGGCCCTGCCCGAGGAACTCACCGAAGTTTCTGCTCCCACCAGTTCTTGAGATCATGCCAGGGTTTCCCCAGGCAGGTTGGCATTTTGGTGTGGCACAGCCCTTGTGCTGCTCCCAAGCTCATTCCTTCCTGGAATCCCTGTGCTGTTCCTGGGAATGGCAGTGGAGGTGGCGAGATGGGCAGCACCTGCCTTGGCAAAATGCAGTCCTTCCACAGAGCTGTGGGGGATGTAAGCTCTCTGTCCCACTGTGTGTTTGGGGTGTCCCTAAACCCTGACCCATGGTGCTGTCACACACCACAGCCAGCTATCATGGATGGTGCTGGCTCATGCTGTTGAGGGCCAGGATACCTGTGCCCATGGCAAGAGCCTTACTGCTCTCCCACTCCCTCTTAGAGCTTCAGCCTCCTTGCCTTCTTAATTTCTCTTTTTTATTAGTTGTTTTGGCTCCTCAGAGAAGGTGGGGGTTGGAGGGGATGTGCAGCCATCCAGTTGCTCTTTGGTGGCTTTTCCCAGTAGGGCTGGGAAGCCACCTAGCTCTGCTGCTCAGGCAGCTCCTGCACTGCCCTGCCCTTGTGGGAAACTGGTCACTGGGGAGCCCTGTCCTGCTGCCAAGCTGAACTGAGGTCTGGGGGGTCTGTAGTGAGTTTGGGGGTCTGCAGTGGCTTTGCCATCAAGCTCTCAGCCTCCCTCTGGGAGTCTCATGCTGTCCAGTGGTCGAGTGTGTGTGGCACAGCTGTGACCTGCCAGTACACCCCAGGAATGGCTGCATGTGCTTCATGCCTGTTTTTTGGCCTCTGTCCCCAAAGTGTCATTTTTTTCCATAGGAAATAACTATTTCTGCTCAAGATCAATAAGATTTTGTTAAGAAAAAGGGAGAATTTTAAAGGCTTGGTTTAATTTAATCTATTTCTTTGCAGGACGCTCCCTTTGGTAACAATAGGAATTCGATTCCTGCCAGAGCAGACTCCTTAATTAGACCCCACAAAATGAACAGTAACGTGTCTCTGGGCTGAAATTCTCCCTTTCTGGAGCTTGCAGAAAGGAGGGAGTTTCTAACTCATAATTGCATCTGAATGCAAATGGCTGTGCCAATGTGAATATATTAAAAGCAGCAGCGTCAGCAATCACTGTGAAAAAAAAATACATACAAATGAGGCCCCAGCTTATTGCTCCATTTGGATGCTGTGAAATGGCACCTTATTGTGTTATTATAAGATTTCTTGCTTAGTTAACAGAAAATGCTTACAATTAAGTCTGAACTCATTTAGTGCTCAGACTAATTCACATTAGAAAAAGGATATGACCTCGGCTCCAGATCCCTTTTCTATGGCTCTTGCTGTACGTGGAGGTGGCAGTGCTGGGCTGGGGAGGAGCTGTGCTGCATTCCTCATGTCCCCTGTCCCAGCAGTGCCTCAGGGACAGGGCTTGAGCATGGGCCAGGCACTGCCATGACCCCTGTCCTGCCTGTGAACCAGGAGAGTGAGATGATGTCACGGGAAAGGCTTCCTGCTTTTTCTACTTATCTTAATTCCTGACACTCCCATGGCTGGGCCCTGATGTGTCATGCCCTGCTCAGTCACTGCTCCTGTGCTGGGGCTGTCTGAGGAGGGGGCTGCTGCTCACAGAGCCCAGCTTTGCTTGCCAGGAGATTGTAGGGAGTGGGGATAACAGCAACAGCAAGAGGGGCTGAAGTTTGGTGGGTACAGCACATCTGCTGTGATTCCCTGGGTATCCAAATTAGTGGAAACCATTGAATTTCATCTCCTTGCATCTCTGCTCTTTTTTATGATACTGAGAAATACCATCCCTGTAGCCTGTGGGAAGGCTGCAGATAAATGAGGGTAAGTTTGTGTGTACATCAAATGCTGTGATGATGTGCCTTGTAGAACAGCCTCCCTGGCACAGCACATAAACACTCCATCTTCCAGGCACAGCTTTAGATATGGCAGGGACCAAGAATGAGAATAATATATATATTGAGAAAGAGTTTCACTGTGGGGAGTTCAGCAGGCACCACATGAAGAGCTGGCAGGGCTTGGGCAGATTCCAGAGTTTGGCCATCCTCTGTGCCTCCAGGAGCTGAGCTGGGGGTGCTCAAGTCAGAATATTTGTGGCACTGAGGTCTGTTCTTCACTCCCTTCTCCTTTCCCTCTTCCCTTTCCTTTTCTTCTTCCCCTTTCTTTCTCCTCTCCCAGCCATCAAAGCACCAGCCCTCCTGTAAAACCAGTACCTGTAGGATAAGGCCTGCGGATAAATTATTATCGTGACCCCAGTTATGCTGTGAAAAACTTCATGAAGCTGCTGAGTGAAAAGTCAAAATTTGCATTTAAATAGAAAATGTTTGGCAGCCTGTAACCCACCTGGCCGTGCATGGCAGGGGTCCCTGGCCATGGTGAAACACCAGTGGGGTGCTGGGAAGCTCCAGCAGCCAGGACAGACCCTGCTCTGCTCCCTGGCCCCTCTGTCATACCCTGACTGCTTTAACAGCCCATCCCAGACCTCCTGTGCGGGGGGCTCAGCCCAGGGTGCCTCTGCCCCTGGCCAGCACTGGCCATGCTCTGCTGGCCCCATTTTCACCACATTCTGCATTCAGTCACCTCTCAGAGCTCGGGGGCTGCAAGGGAGCCTGGCCGAGTCAGCCAGGGCCAGGCACAGGAGGGAGAAGTGTGAAGCATTTTAGGAGGTCTATAAATTAATTAAACCCCTTTTAAAGGTTAACAAGGTCCACTCTGTCCATCATTAAAGTAACTTCATGCATTTAAATTTTAACAGTCAAACCAATTAGCAATAAAAATGTTGTATGAACTGCACTTTATTGGATTCTGGTCAAGCCAAAATTGGTTCAACATTTGATGTCTATTTTTTTTTTCCCTTTTCTCAATTTTAAACACAACCTCTATTTCCCTTGGGTTGTGAGAACACCAGTGAACTCAGGAGTGGAACAGTGACAGCAGCAGCCGGGGCCACTCTGACTGAGACCCCTCCTCACTCCTTGCAGCAGCCTGGCACCTCAATCCACACTTACCATGCTTGGAGAAAACATTTTGAACTCCTGGCAAAACCTTTCTGAAAGGAAAACTCTTGGGACTCTCGGTGACACCTCTCCAAAGGCATCCTCTGCTCTGCTGCTGCAGGGCCCCCTTGGAGCCCCTTCCCACCTAAACAGGCAGTGAAGGAAAATCATCTACAAAGGGGCCCAAAATGCTGACGCAGCAAGTTCCAGCCCCAGCAGAAATTACAGGATTAAGGCACATCTTGTGCCTGTAACAAGGACCATGTGAAGGGGATGTTTGCAGGATTGCAGGCTGCTGGCCCAGAAAAGGGACTGGCTTGGGGAAGCATGGAGGTACCTGATCAGGTAAAAATTTAGAGGAGCAGGAGAAGTTGGCCTCCCTGAAGAGATGGACAGTGGATAAATTCTCTGCACATGGACACAGTGGTATTTATTTCCTACAGATCCTTCAGCCAGCAGGCTGCACAGGTACTCCAGAACCTGAACTGGCAAAATGAAATGATAAAAAGCTACCAGGACAGAACTGGGATGCAGGGGATTCACTGCAGAACAGTGTAGATTTGGCCCCTCTGAAGGGCTGGCTCAGAATCTGTGCTGCCAGGAAACCCAGGATAAACCCATCAGGAATGGGGAATTAAAACCTGTTTGATGACGAACACTGGTCAAAATGAAAAATTATGGGGGGCAGGAGGGAAGGGGCAGAGGAGGTTAATGTTCAGCAGAGCTGAAGGGTCTGTGCTGGAGCTGCAGCTCCCAGTACCCCTGAGAGGGGTTGTGGAAACCAGATGTGGAGGAATGGTCACGGTGGGGGGAGCACGGGGCTGGTATCTGCTCATAATTACTCTTGATTTTGTGCGATGACATTAAGGCTGCAGGCAAACATGAAAGAACACTTGTGGGGACAGCAGCGCTCGCGCCGGCCAATGGATTAATAAAGAATGACTGACATGCAGGGAGTGGGGAGGCCCACATGGAAGTGTTTTGTAGGGTTTTGATGTTCTCCAGGCCCACAGAGACCCTTGCCAATGCTGCTGGTTGCCCCCCAGCACAGCCGCAGGAGCGCTATGCTTGGGAGACTCCCAGCCCTTCCACAGCACGCTCCAACACCTCCGTGTGACCATGGATAAACCACGGTCAGTAACCACGGATAAACCATGGTCAGTAACCACTCACTCCTGGGCCAAGGTGCTCCTCAGGGAGAAGCCATCAGGTGCAGGACATGGGCTCCATCCACGCCACAGACAGCTCAGGGCTGCAAGAGTGGGGCAGCTTCCAGGAGAGGACAGAGATCCTCCTCCCAAAGCAGCTCCTTAACAGGTAAAGGTCACCCACTTTCACTTAAAGCAGAGCAATTAACACATAATCACATTAACAAAGTACTCTATTATGGATAAAAGGATTTTCCCTTTAGTAATAGCCCTGAGGCAACACAAAACCTGCACTTTAAGAAGCAAAGACTGAGGATTAGGTGCTGGCACTGGGCACCACCAGCACCCTCACACCTGGCTCCAGGTGTGTCCATCCCTGCCACATCTTTGAGTTTAGAGTGACCACTCCTTCCTCCCCTCAGAGAAGTGCCAGGCTCCTGGTGGATCTAGAGACCCAAATAAGATCCTTTCTGAGGAAGACCAGCCCCTACCCTGTGCCAAACAGGGAATCACCCAGCAGGGAGGTTCACACCCACATCTGGAGAAGGATTCCTAGGGCAGGGAATGGGGCTGGGGGAGAGCTGTGGGAAGCACACAGCAAGGGGGAGTCACTCAGCCACCACCTGCCTCCTGCACTCTCTGCAAGCCTGCAGAGAGACTGTTACAACTTTTAATTTGTAAAACCAGGAGGAGAGGAGCGTGTGAATGGAGCGAGCAAGAGAGCAGATGGGCAACGGGCTGCCCAGCTTCACAGGCAAATTCCAGACGCTTCTGGGATTCCTTGCACCAGCAGGGTTTGTTTTGTCAGTGGTTTGGCATCCTTCCTCTCCCAACCTCCGTGTTGTGAGCAGGAGCCTTGCTGGGTGCAGGACTGGGAGAGCCACACTCTGCATCCCACTGGCTCTGCCAAGCTCTCCAACAGGTTCACAAGTTGCTTTGCTCCTTGCTCTGCATTCAAACCATCACCACCACCAGCAGCCCCGTTCTTCATTACCACAGGTCAATCCTAGTCACAGCCTGTGGCTTGGCTCCTGTCTGTTTAACTTGGTGTGGCTGGGAAGGGGTCACCTCTTCATGCAGATGGGGGCAGAGCTTCCCTACAGGACCTGGGTTGGCATCTGGCCAGCACAGGGGATCCCTGAACACCTCCAGGCTCTGCTTGACACCCACTGAGCTGGGAAGGTCCTGCCCACAGCCCTGTGCTCAGTCCGGCTCAACACCTTCCCACCAGGGCACAGCAGCTCACAGTGGTGTGTTGGTGCAGGGACGCTAGGCAGCACATGATGCTGCCCTGTGCGGGGACAGAGGAACCTCCCAAGGGACTCTGAAGCATTGTTGCTGGTTTTCCAGACTCACCACTGCATGTCCTGAGCTTCAGGAACTGGTAACTCTCCTGGAGGAGTAAACACAATCTTCAACGGCTCCTGAGGATTTTCAGTTTGCACCCGGGTCATTCCTTCTGGGAGCAGTACCTTTGCATGGCAGCACTGATGGAGGTGGCTGGCTCCTGGCAGATCCTGCTGTCTGCAGGGATCTCAGCTCCAGGGACACAGCTACAGCCCATGCCCAGCACTCATCTCTGCTGCAGGCTCAAGCTCCAGGGCCCCTTATCCATCCCCAGCCAGAGAACTGAAATCTGCTCAGCCCCAGACCCACTTCAGTGCTTTTATCCACTGGGTCCTGCCTCAGCTGATCCTGTTTGCCACCCTGATGAATTCCTTCTATGCCACCTGGGCCAGAACCCTGTCCCCACTCAGCCCCATCCCTGTTCAGTCCTGCTGTGCTGGTTCCAGCTGCCACAGCAGTGCCACCACATCCCATCCATGGAGAGCCTGTGGTGTGTGTGTGGAGCACTCACTGTGCATGTTCCTGTGTCCTCAGCAGCAAGAACCCTGCCTGAGGTTTCCCAGTGATTGTGGACCCATGGAGGGATCCAGAGGCAGCTTTTCCAAATGCCAGTGGCTCTCATGGGCAGCTGGAGGATGCAGCACTCACCCCAGCGTGTCCCTGTGCACATGTGCCTGCAGCAGGGCCAGCTGGGCCAGCAGGGAATGGCCTCTCTCCAGAGCAGTAATGCTCCACACAGGATTGTTTTCCCTAGGCCAGGATTATCACAGTGATCTGGGCAGCCAGCACAGCTCCAATCCCATTACTCCATTAGCATGGGCGTTAGAAGGTGACACTCTGCATCTGCTTGACAAAACGCAGCTTCAGACTCCGTGCTGAGCATTTCCACCAAAAGGAACACAGTTTTCACTTGGAGAGGATTTGCTATTATTATTGGCTTGTAGCTGCTTAGAAATAAACAGCAATAAAGACTTCACCAATTTACCCTCAGAATGTTCTCATTTGAAACACGCCGTGCAGAAAAATATTAACAAAATAAACTCCCAGCTTAGAAAAGGCTAAAGAGAGCTTTTTTTGGAGTGTCAATGTTTGTGGGAGTGTTTTCTGAAGAAGCTGCAGTTTGGATTGAGCAGCTGTTGGTGCCATGTCCCCCAGGACAAGGCACTGGGGATGGCCCAAGGGCAGTCCTGGCAGCACAGAGGGGTGGCAGAGCCCTGCTGCCCTGGGAAAGGCAATTTTTCCCTGATGGGATGATTTTCAGACACAGAGACAAGCCCCACTCCATTTCAGCAGTCCAATGCCAGCTTGAGAAGAGTGAACACGATAAGGTGGGAAAGCCTGAAATAAAGCTTAACCCTGAGATTGAAATGGAGTTGTTCAGCATTATTGGCTTGTAAATTGTACCTGTGATGAGATTTAGTAAAAGACTGAGAGGTCTTTTGGCGGTGGGAGAGTATTTATGATGCTTTTGTACTGGTACACGAACACTTTTCTGTTTTGCCCGTGTTCACACTGCCCCAGAGGCCGTGTCCTGTTCCTCAGGGTGTTGTTATACACACAAGTGCTAGCAGCCAGCTTTGGGCTTTTCCAGCCTCCTACCTTTTGGTACTTTGCTGTAAAGGTAACAAAGGAGTCCCTGTCCTGGCAAGGAGGAGTGGGGTCCATGTTCCATCCTCGAGAACAGGAGAGGAGCAGTGTCTCACTTAGGGGTTGAAGGCTTCCTTACACTTGTTTTTCAAGTGAATCCCTGTTTTTCAGGGCAGGATGCTGTGAAATGCCCTGGTCCTGCTGCTGCCTGGATGGCAGAGGAGCCCATGATGCCTTGTCCTAGCCTTGGGGATGATGGTTGGTGACCAGCAGCATCAGGGATCTCCCTCAACCCTCCCTCTGGTTGCCTTTGGTGGCACTGGGGCTGCCCCTATGGGCACTGTGCTCTGACTGAGTAGCCAGACCACTGCTTCCACCAAAGCAAATTCCACATCACCAGAAGCTGAGTGCACCAAGGGGCTGACAGGTCATTTTTCTGTGGGCATTTCCAACAACAAACAAGCTCCAGAGAGCACTCTCAAGGATGGGGAGTGCAGGAAGAGCTTACTGAGTGGAAACCTAGTTTAGAATTTACCCAAACATTGCCCCTTGTGTGAGAACAGAGGTCACTGGGAGTGGGGGGGAGCAGACAGACCACTGGAGCAATGGAGACATCTTCCTTTAGCACTCTGGTCACATACGCAGCCATCTCGCTGCTGCTGGCAGCCAGGCGCCTTTGTGTCCCTGTGCCCGTGCTGCTGACTGTCACAGCCATCTCTGATGCCACACTGCATGCTGGAGGTGCTGCTGTTCCTGAAGAGCACAGAAATTTACCCTCCATGGGGATTCCTGGGTGTAGGAGTCCATGAATCCTCCAGCGTTAAAGCCCTAGCCCAGTGGGGCATTAACTGCAGACCCATCACCTCCCTTCTTTGAGCTTTCTGAGGCAAGAAGCAAAACCTGTGTTGGAGCACAGACTGACAGACTTCTCAGGAAAGACTGCACCTCTGGGATTTCTGGAATAAGCACTGTAGCAGGTTGCAGCATTTATACACTGGTCGTGTCGGGCCAAATGGGACACGCTGCCCCTGCTGACTGCTGGGCTGGTTGCCACTGGGAATCCCACAGACACACTTGGGATTCCCCTGTTTGTATTAACAACACAAGGAAAGCTGAGCAGGAGCCTGGCAATGTGCACAGGCACTGCTCCTGTGGGGCTGCAAGGGATGAGCAGGGCCTTGCACTCCTGTGGTGCTGACTGGCAGGCGGTGCCAGTCTGTGGGGACACCCTGCCTGTGTCTCTGCTCCAGACCATCTCCTAGTCCTGCCCTTGCTTTTCCCTCCCATGCTGGAGCTCTTGAGCCTAAAAAGCAGCAAGCCAGAGGACCGTGGCCAGGGTAGGAGCAGGGAGCTGAGCCTGGGATGCTGCAAGATCTGGAGGAATTGGGACATTGCAGAGAAAGGCAGCGTCACTTCCCACAGGAACGCTGTGATGGTGTGGATGGGAGGGAAGGGATCAAGAGCCAACAGATCTCCAAAATGCAGGATGGAGGCACTGCCCCATGACTGCTCTGCTCAGCTGGACTCTCCTGGGAGCCTCAGACTGCATTAAGATGCCTTGGACTATTCCCAGCTCCACGGATGAGCTGTTCCATGGGATACTCCCATCCTAGATGCCGTCAGGGTGGGACTCGGGCACTGTCACCAGGATCACATAAAACGTGATGGATCTCACTGTAATCCTTGGAGCCCACGTAAAAAGATACTCTCTAGATATCTATAAAACATGCTGGGATTTGCAATTAAAATACCTGGGTGGTGACTGTGCCCACAGCCTGCCTTCTCTCCCTCCCTCCCTGCATCCCTCTCTCCCTGCCTCTCTGGTTTGGAGCAGCTCCATGTAAACCCTGTTTTGCAATCACTGTTTAAATAACAAGCTGCCTTCAAAGGAATATATTTAGAACAGAGGGTCCCCCCCATAAGCACGCTCTGAATGTTTGAGTGATTTCAGCTGGTTTGGCGAGCGTTCTCTGTGATATCATGGGCCGAACATTTCTTTGCGGGTCTGTGAGCTCAGGCTCTGAAGAGCTCATGGCCCTGCAGCTCCTGCAGTCCCACCAACAACATTTCCAGCTGCTCCTGGGGCAGGCTGAGTGTGGTGGATGTGCCTGGTGGGGGCACAGCTGCCAGCCCAGTGCAGGATGGCACAGAGGGTGCAGAGTGACCAGGGCTGGGCACTCTCAGCACTCCCAGTTGGGGTGGCTGCTCTCAGTGACATCTGTGGTGGAGTTGTCCATGCTTTTGTGGCTTTAGGTGGCTGGTTATCATGGGCCCAGACCTGATGTGTTCCCTGTCAGTGCCCATGTGTGATTTTGACATTTTACCAAGGAGTCTCCTTGAGGCAGAGGGTGGTTTGGCTCAGTGAAACACCAGTCTTCCCCAGAGGAGTACATTCACCCTGCTCACACATGCAACAGCTCTGACTTGTTCCTGCAGCAGGCAAGAGCTGAGAGAATTTACTGAATATCAAACGAATATCAATGTTTTCGTTTTGTAACCAGCTCCTGCTCGCCCTGACAGCCAGGTGCCACTGGCACACCAGCCAGGTGCCCCAGCACTGCCAGCTGCCCTTGCCTTGGGAGCAGCCCCTGGCTCCCTCTCCATGGTACAAAGCCAGTTCCCTTCATTATCTGCTGGCTGCAGATGCTCACAAGCCATGAACCGCTTTGGCATTGAGCATTTCAGGCGAGGTTGTGTTCAGATTTCTGTGCATTTTCCAGCAAAACTGAAGCAGCAGCTCATGGGCAAAAGGACACCAGAGTCACTTACTCCCTGCTTCTGACGGGGACCCACCCTGCGTGGCAGCAGGCAGAGATGGGCTTGGCAGAGCCTGCCTGGAGAGCGGGAAGAGCCCCAAGGAGATCCCTCACCTCCTGCTGGAGGAGCACCAGGATGCTGCTGACAAGGGCTCCTTTGTTCCATGGAGGGCTCACCTGAGCAGCAGGACAGCTCCCGGTGTCTAATTAGCAACAGGAGCCGTGCTCGTCCTCCCTGAGGCAGCCCGGTCGTGTCTCTGCAGCTCTCCGCATTTTTTGCCCAGGTGGTGAAGCTGAGGGAGGCGGTGCAGAAGGATGGGCTCCACTCCCACCGTCCCTCCTCGCCTGCAGGAATATCTGCAGCAGCTCCCAGCCCGGCAGCACCACAGCCTGATGGCATGGGACAGCCCCAGGGACATGGGGACAATGCAGGGCACAGGGAAAGCCTGGCACCTGCAGCCACCCGGACTGTACAGGGGGAGCAAAGACACAGAGAGACCAAAAATGAAGAGCTGAGTTGCTGTGCAGTCCTTGCACAGCTGGCTGTGGTGGAGAACTGGGTTGCTGAAGCTGCAGACCCATTTTTCAGCTGCTGTTGGAGTGTCTGGAGAGAAGGGATGTGTGTATATTTTCAGCGAGAGATCCCCCTCAGTATTCCCACAGGAATTTCTGAGGCTGTGTTTGAATCCAGATGAGCCACGGCTGCTCCCAGCTCTGGGAGCAGAGCAGCAGCTGCAGGGCCCCAGCAGTGCCCCAGGGCTGAACCATGGGCACAGGGGCTTCCAACCAGCTCACAGAAATGCCTGGCTGAAGAGATTTTTGTGCTTTAAAATGTGTGTTGATGT